TTGGCCAAATACGGGATGGTGCCGAGCCATAGGTTTCTGCAGGACATCAGCGCGTGTTTAATCGCAACATTGCCTGAGAAATTCTACGACAAAGTGGACGAAGGAAGCATCATATTGAAGGAATCGCCGAGTTTCGGTTTCTGTGAGGAAGGTATCATGATCGAAGGAGAAACCGAACCGATTCGCTCGGATTTGGTCATTTTGGCTACAGGATACAGAGGTGACCTGAAGCTTAAAGAAATATTTGCTTCCTCTACTTTTCGAGATTGCATGACATTTCACAATTCAGTGGTTCCCTTGTACAGGTTAGTGTTTCCTTCTTGGTTATGCTGGTGAAAGATGGCTGGTTGAGATATTTAATTTTTACTATACTAGAATATAAATACTGTTAGGAATTCATTAGATTCATCATAACAGAGCAAATGAAATCTTAGATCCATGAATAGATTCATCATAGCAGAGGAGACCAACTTAATCCATCCCATATGATTGTAGTCGGATTGTATCTGTCAAATGGGGAAGAAATAGACTGAAAATTATGATCTTAGTTTCTTTATATAGAATTTCTATCAGGCCCTCACTATTCAGATGATATTTCATAGGTATCTATTTCATTTGGCCCATTTAACTTTGGAATACTTAATGGGCCCGTTTATAATTAAATGGTCTTTACCATCTCGATATTGGAATTAATAAAGAATTTCCGTTAAGTATTGCATAATGGAGACGATCTCATAAGCACTTCAATCTATATTGCCTTCCATTTGTGGATTTAGAGTATTTTCTGGTCATTAAAGGAACAACGGGCAGTTCCCTTGTCAACTACTGAAACTGAGCACATTGTGACATGTGATTTAAAGAACAAAAGAGACTGCTAAAATAATCTAGTCTAGTGTAACAACGAGTCTATCATTACTTTACCAACAATCCAGCTTATCATAGTAGAAGCAAGTACTTAGACTTCAACTTCAGTTTTCTTCAGCGAGATAATGATTGAGGACTGCAAATTGAATGTCGTGTCTAATAGGACTTAAAAAGTGTCCTTAATTTCGTAGGAGTGTACAACATGCCTTTTCTCGGTGGTTTCTAAATGACAGAAAATTCTTTTGTAAGTACAACCCAGCCCTTCCGTATTAACAATTGGAGAGCCCTTCTCTAGTTCTTGTTGGATGGGGATCCCTCTTTCCCCAGCCCCCGCCCCTAGGCTGTTTTGTTGTTTTTTGTGATTAATATCCACATGTTTCTTATAAAAAAATAATAATAACAATAATTTTGTTTATAGGCTTATTGAGACCTTCTAAAGGTTTTTGTTGAATACTTAATTGAAAGTTCGGAGACTTATTAGACATTTCAAAAGTTGAGGGACCTATTATACACAACATTGACATTGAAAGTTTAGGAATAGGATCCAAATTTGTTATTTGACCATCAACTTGTTACATGTCTTCTATTTTGATCCTATCATGTAGCATTTCGTTGAATTCCTCTCTGTAAACATCAAATTCCACGGTTTGTTTGTTTCTGTTCCTCTTAATCAGGCAATGCATCCATCCGAGAATCCCACAGCTAGCTGTGGTTGGGTTCACGGAGAGCTCCTCAAACTTGTTCACCTCGGAGATACGATGCCGATGGCTCGCGGAGTTTCTGGACGGCACGTTCAAGCTGCCGAGCATCAGGGCGATGGAGAAGGACATAGCCAACTGGGAGAAGACCATGAAGCATTACTCAGGCCCTTTCTTCAAGCGAGCTTGCATTGCCATTCTGCATATTTGGTACAGTGATCAGCTTTGCAAGGACATGGGGTGGAACCCCAAGAGAAAGAAAGGCTTGTTTGCTGACTTGTTTGTGCCTTATGGCCCTTCAGACTATGCCTCCCCTTGAGAAAGGTAAAATAAAATCATAATAATAACAATGAAGCTGCCCATTTTGCCCTTTCCTATCCTATCCTATCCTATCCTATCCTATCCAATAAAAGTTGCATTGCCATATCCCCAATAAAAGCAATGCTACTTGAAAACCTCCATTTGGTTCTCCTGGTTTTGTGACCAAGCTCTTCCCATTTTTCTTCCTACTTTATTCTGAACCAAATCAGTCAGACTGTGATATGTTATTTCTAATTTATGTATTACTGTTTGTAGAATAAAGTATATGGTTGCATGAATTTGTTTTTGTTGCTTGATTGTTATTTTCTTTCTTGTATTGTAAGCTCTGCAACAAGAGCTTTCCTTTTGGGAGATTCTTGGGAGCCCCACGTGAGGTCTCATTTGACCAAAAATTGAGCTGATGATAAACACAACCGAACAAGCCTTCAACTTGTTCAGACTTTTTTCCCTACTAATGAAGGGAAGGATACATTAGGAGAGAGAGAGGAAGAGGGAGGGAAAAAACTGTTTGGTTCAGACTAATTGGGTCCCAGTTCTTTGACCACAGATGAAGTCAGTTTTTTCATTTTAGCTCGTTTCCCACCCTTAGTAATTACCTCATAATTCTGAGTGATTTCAAATCTTTACAGATTTCAAATAAATTACGCAGCATGATATAGAATAATTTAAGCTAGTAAATGATATCTGCTTGACCTCACATTCTTTGGGTGAGGTTGGACACATTCACTTTTGATGTACTAATTTTTTTTTAAATAAAGAAGAATAATTTGAAATCTTATCTTAAAAAAATTTCTGACCAAAATAATTCGATTTTTCAGGATTTCATAGAATTTTGAAGTAAATTACTTATTTGAACTTATCGGTAAATTTTTTATTATCCTTTCGAATGTAAAATGATTTTCATAGAATCTAAAATCAGTATTATTAATTATTATTATTATTGTATCTTTTTTTATTAATATATAAGCTACGGCTTCCCTCTCTGATAGAACCTCTCCCAGCTTCAACGTAGACCCTTTTCTCTCTTTTCACCTCTTTTTACTTATCTGTTACTGAAATTATCATTCAGAATTTTGATGCCTCAGCATTTCATATTTATCTTGAGTTTATTTCTGCACTAATCGTTATTTTGTTACCCCGGTAAAAAAATTTCAAAGAAATTACCCTTTGCTAGCGATGGAAAAATTAAAATTAATTGGGGTCTGATTGATATTTTTATTTAAATTTGAAACTAATTGATTAATACACTCATTGTTTAAAAAATGTTTGATACACTTGATTTTAATTAATTACTTTTAATATTTAAAATAATTAATTATACTAATTTTTTATTGTTCAACAAATAACAGGCGAGAAATAAATCTGTCATTCGATCACTAGCAATAGTCATGTGGAGCGGCTACAGCACTTAATAAATTTATCTAAGTAGAAACTAACTAATTAACTGACTTAGTTAGTGATACAAATAATATACTCTAATATAAGTGATATACCTTTCATTCGATCGCTAGCAATCGTCATGAAAGTGGAGAAAGACTCCAGCCAATATTCAATATTATCTTCAGCTTCAGTAGCCCTAACATACAATCTAAAATTGTTCTCTTTGTTAAGTGCAGAAAACCAAAGAGCACATCTCATTAGGGAAAAATCTCTTGTTTCGTTGTCTCGTTGCTGAATTAACAACTGCCTATTTTCGGCACGACAGTAATATTAATTTGAACTTCGTCTTCCGAACTAGATTTTGTCATATGGAGACAAATAGGGCTTCCATGCCCAAAATTCTCTTTGTACAGTGTGTCGTCTACGTCAAACCAAACAAAGTCTTCATTTGAATCCATATCAATACAAGATACGTTTGCATCATATGAATCCATATCTGACCAAAATCAGAGTGACCTAAAAATTAGGTTTTGCTCATCATATAAAAGGGGCGAGAGACACCCGTTAATTTTAAAGGGTCCAAAATCATGCCAGAGTACGTCCAAATTAGATAAGTTTAAAATCCTTAAGAAAAAAAAAAAAATAAAGGGTTTCTCCCGCCCTTTTTATATGATAGCAAAACCTAATTTTTTAGGTCAATTTCTGAATTCTATGATCGTTGATCAGATATGGATTCATATGATGAAGACTTATCTTGGATTGATATGGATTCAGATGAAGACTTTATTTGATTTGATATACAGTATGAAGGGAATTTGGAAATGAAAGCCCTATTATCTCTATATGACATAGAATCTAGTTCGGAAGACGAAATTCAAGTTAATATTACTGTCGAAAATAGACTGATTGTTATTTCAACAACGAGGCAATGAAACAAGAGATTTTTCCCTAATGAGATGTGCTCTTTGGTTTTCTGCACTTAGAGAACAATTTTAGGGGGCTGCTAAAACTGATGACAATATTGAAGATTGGCCGAAGCCTTTCTCCACTGCCATGACGATTGCTAGCAATTGAATGAAAGGTATACCACTTACAATGTCTTCCGAGGAGGAGAATAAGTGTTGTAGCCGCTCCAAGTCATTGCGTCCTCCCTCTTTGACAGATTTATGCATATCTGCTCTTGTCAAAAATGCCAAGTTAGTTTCTTCACTAGACCTTGTCCCTGATGCAATCAGGCAAACAAGATTAGTCTGGTACTATGTGATTCTCGAAAAATGAACCATCATTTTCTGGATCTTATTCTCTGTGGATCCCCAACAGAAGTTTGTATATGGGACTTCTTTTCAAGAAATAGTAGGAAAATGCCAATTCTTGTTTTATCAAACTACCACACCTGATAGGTTTGTATGCTCCAATTTGACGGACTCTGTCTAGGGCTTGCCGTTCCACTGCTGGATTCCACCAAGGGTCCATGATAAAGACCTGAAATTGAAGATCAATGAAGTATATAACAGTGTGTCGAACCACCAAAAACAAACCATTAATTTGAAGAACGAAAATATATTTATACACTTGCTAAATAACTGCACTACACATGCATAAACAGTTGCAATAACTGCATATAATGCAACATAAAAAGAATTTCTTACATGCGATGCGACGGTAAGATTATGAGCAACTCCTCCAGCGTTCAAGTTGATCAATAAAATCCTGCAATATGGATCGTGAACAAACCTCTCCATGGCATCACCTCCTTGAGCCAAGTTTATGCTTCCTGTTAATTGAACACAGGAAATGCCGGACTGCAAAGAGTTTGTTGCACAACATACAGTCACTTGTTTTATGAGAAATCAGAACTCTAAATGTGAACTTATACATACCTTTGTTAAGGAATAGTTAATGAGATCTGAAAACGAAGTGAATTGGCTGAGAACTATTCCTTTTGCAGATCCATCTCGTTCAAACATCAATATAATTTCTTCTCTCTGAAGTAGGAAGGGAAAGAGAAAAAAATTAAATAACGAGGTCATGATTATCAAATCTGCTTCAGTAATAGATTGAGTTCCAATTGTGAATTGATTTGGCCACATGTTGTCTTCATTCACATCCAAAGATTAAACAAATACAAGGGAGCCTGAATTAAACGTACCAAAGCTTCTATTTTTGTGCTTGTAAGAAAATTCTCCAGCGGTATTCTGTTAAGTATACTTGAAGATTTAAACCCCTCAACTCTTGTTTTGATGGTTTCGTCCCCAGCAGTCAGAGTTGTGCTAAATTCAACCGCGAGCATCTTTGAGCAAACAGGAAATTATCAGTGTAATAATCAATCATGCACGCCTTACAAAATGTATGCTCACACGAGGTAACCTGATAGAGTAAAGGAAAGGATAAAAAAGATTGCACCGGGTAATATTTTTAGCTATTATCCATGAGGGTAAGACAATACATTTTCTAACAATTGGTTGGGTTACTAACAAAAAACCTCTTATTACTTGAGCAAATAGAATGCTATCCCAGGCTTCTGCTATTTCTATACGTGTTTCTTCCTCTTTTTTCTGCTTTTCTCTTATGTCCGCCTCTTTTTTCTGATTTTCGCTTGTCTGTTCCTGTGTATTATCTGAAATAGTAAATTCTGTGTTTTTCCATATCCCAGTTCTAAAAATAGTTTTCATTAGTCCGAGAATATCAAAAGAATGCTGAAAACATTGTTTGTTTCAAGCTGAGGCAGTAAATTACTGGGTCACGTCAATTTCAACTAAAGATGTAATGAAGTGAAAAAGGCAGTAAATTACTTTTAAAGAAGATGTGCATTCATTAAATGAACTAAAGCAACAGTCCTGGGATAATATTGGTTATTTCAAGTACAATTGAGGTATTTATTCTAACTAATTTACTTTAGAAATTAAATGACATTAGTCATTACAAGTACAAGTTCAGTTTAGTAAATAGTGATAAAATACAAGATGTTCATTAGCAGCGTTCTCACAAAATTTCACTGCTATGACAGACAAGACTGTCAACGTCGGTCATACTCATGAGTAACCAGAAATAGATGTGCACTATAGCAGTTCAATGAGAATCAGATGACATTAGCTAATATCAATATTAAAAAAGATGGACAATTGGAAACGCAATAGTCAATGCAGGAGAATTCCCCAGAGGATTCTTGTCAAAAGGAAAAAAAGAAACTCACCACAAGATTTTCTGCTGCTATATGACAAATTCCACATAGTTGTTCATTACTATTATCAGTAGAGCTTCCACAATTTATGGCAGAAGTTTTAGAGTACACCACAAGATATGGATGATTGACTGCCTATAACATTTTGAGGAAAATGGAGTAAAAAAAAAAAATTCATTAGATCAGCTTTTGATACCTTTAGACGTGTAGTATAAAAAGCTAAAATCACTAAAATAAAATTAATAAATTAAAACAAATTCCTCATCCATTATAATAAATATGGGAACTCGAAGGCAAAAAATATCAAATGATAAGTTGAACACCTGACAAATATACCTTAAAATGTTAAGACAAGACTTCGACCGGATCATCTAAAGCAGTGGTAAATTCATATTACAGAGTATGGGAAGCCACAGACCTTTCTCAAGCGAACCAAGATGTCATCTATGTGTGCAAAATCATTTGTTTCCCTTTCTGCTGCCACAAAACTACAAAGAAAAACAACCATCAAAGACATCTTCAATGTTTGCGTTTTCACAATGGTTGAGCATTGGAAGAAAATATAATCTTTTGAAAAATAAGATTGGAAAGAACCTCTATATTACACGAACAATCAAGTCACAGACATATCAAAAACATTCTTTGACATTTCCATTAAGTTGGAAAATGGCATCTCAAAAGTACCAATAGCTACTATTTCATGTCAAATCCTTGGTCACAGGTTAAATAAAGTCCATTCCCTTGATTCTTTTACTTCGGTAGACTAGGGCTCTAAGAAGCACGGATACGGATACGGGACACGGACATGGACACGATAGTGATACGTCAATTTCTAAAAAATTAGGACACGGATACGTTGGGATACATTTATTTTTTTTGAAATAATTTTAAATTCTTTATCTTGTTTGGAACAAGAATGATTTGAAACGAATTAAATTAGATTTCTTTGTTTTGATGTTCACCGGAAATGAAAAAAAAATAGAAATTTTACTGATTTAGGCTTTTATTCTAAATTTATTAATTAGAAATTAAAATATGACGAGGTTAAATAGGTAATTTACTTCGAAAGTCTATCAAATACTATTTTGATATGGAAATTTTTTTAAGTAAAAATAGGATTTGAAATCATTCATTCAAAACACTACCAAACAGTGGAATTCATTTGAAATCCGTCGTGATTCTGAATTCCTTCAAAATCCAAGGTACCAAACAGAGCATAAATAAACATAAATGAGCATTACCCATTTGATTATTAAATTTATAAAACAAGAAAACAAAAAAGAACAAACAAAGACTAAGTCCTTGTACAAAAAGAAGAAAGGGACAGAAACAAAACGTAGGATTAGGAACTAAAAAAATATTATCATATCGACCTTCAGAGATGGTAGGCAATAAATAAAGTTTAGAATTAAAAAAGCAGTTTAAAAAATTAAGATTTGTTTCAATCCGAATTTTCGGGTTGGGTAGAATAGAGAACCGATGGAACCGGGTCAACCCAACCCAACCCTTATATTTTCGGATTGGATCGTCGGGTTGAAACGAGAGAAGGAAGGCACTCAAATAAAAGAGGATTCAGTCGAAATCTGCAAAAATCTCAGGATCAAAATGAGGAAGAGTACGCAGAATGAGGGAAGAAGAAAGGAGGGGGAGACTAGAGAAGGGATCAGATGGGATGATATGAACCAAGGAGCTCTCTTTGTCATGCCTCATGGACCAATTACAAGATCAAGAGCTCGAAAACTTCAACAAGCCCTACTACTTCGTGTCCAAGCGTTCGTGAACTCGACACGAGAATTAAAAGGAAGAYGTGCAAGAAGTTGGAACTATGCACTTCAATTTGGTGCAAGTTATGCATTTTTAAGTGTTTTTAAGGCAARTCAAAGTCTACTTGGTCAAGRTCAAAGTCAACTYCATCAAGACAAGTSMAAGTCAACTYATTCAATTCAAAAACCAAGTCAAACACTCACATCCCTCATTATGGACGAGATTGCACTTATTTTGGTTGACTTTCCATGTTCTTAACCTTTCATTTGCTTGTCTTTTTATTTCTTGTAAGTTATGTCTTTTCATTTACAAGTCTTTTCATTTCTTGTAAGTTACAAGTCTTTTCATTTGCTTAAGACTTTTCATATGGCTTGCTAGGATGGCTATATATAACCTTGAGATGTCTTGTTGTAAACACAATTTGAAGTGGAATGAAAAGTGAGTTTTCTCATTAGCTTGGTTGAGAG